TGGCTTCCTCCCTGGAGCAGGGCCCCTCCCTCGCCTCTTCTCTTCTGCAGCAATCCGCTCCCTGCCCCTTCCTCGCCCATCACTGAGCATCTCTGGCCGGGGGGCGGGAGGGAGGCTCCAGGAGAAGAGGGGGAGGGGACCCCTGTCTCCGAGCCCACGGGCTGTGGGGCCAGCCGCCTCCCATGTGATTCTGAGACGCTTGAGCTGCCAGCTATGTCCCGTCAGCCCGGCAGGAGGCTGTTGCGGTGTGAGGGCTGGAAACCGGCTAATACAGAGAGGGATGCTCCAGGACTGTGGGAAGCGGCAGGGGGAGGGGGAGCGTGCGCTACGGTAGGTCTGTCCTTCGCTAACGTCTTTGTTAGTAACTTGACAGGAGCGAAGGGTCCACTGATGAAATTGGCAGCTTGTACTACGACGGAGGGCTAGAGAAGTATTAAAGAGGACCTGGATGGATAGGCAAGATAGAACAACAAACAAAGGGCTCTTCTTGGAGTTGAGCAGGAGAGTAACCTTCTGCGTGTGGCGCTACGGTAGGTCTGTCCTTCGCTAACGTCTTTGTTAGTAACTTGACAGGAGCGAAGGGTCCACTGATGAAATTGGCAGCTTGTACTACGACGGAGGGCTAGAGAAGTATTAAAGAGGACCTGGATGGATAGGCAAGATAGAACAACAAACAAAGGGCTCTTCTTGGAGTTGAGCAGGAGAGTAACCTTCTGCGTGTGCAGTCCATGGAATGCAGAAATCTGAAGCGAGACTACGGGGACAAGTGAACTGAACTGGAGACATGAGTTTAGTGTGAAATATGGTGGCCAAAACAGGACATCATAGTTCTAGGTTGCACAGGCATAATAATATAGTAAAGTGAGCAGCAAGGCTTCATATAGCTCTTGTATGACAGCAGGTGTGCTGGCTTCATATAGCTCTTGTGTGACATCAGGTGTGCTAATGCCTGGATATCACATCAGGTGTGCTGACGGCTGGGTATCACATTAGAGAGAGTGGAAAATTTCAGGGAGTTCTAAGAACAACAACAAAAATGATTTGGACTGTAGGGATTGACTCATGAGGAAAAAATTAAGAGCTAACTGTTCATAGCTTGGCTAAGGGATGACTAAGGTTGGCGACATAACAGCCTATGATTATTTAAAGAGTGGTACATTGGGAATATGACTAGAAACAATGGGAGAAAAACACAGGCAGAATTACAATGAATACTCCTTTCTAGTTAGCTATGTTGCTGTGAAACAGTCTTCTGAAAGGACATGAGTCCCATTGCTTGTGACATTTCAAACCAGATTGGATAAAACTTTGGAAGTTGTAAAAGAACCAATCCTTGTATTGGCCCCAGGGAGAGTGACTGATGACACAAGAAGTAATTTCTAGCTGTTAAGATTTTCTGTTATTTTACTATCCCCTTTCATCAGCGATTCACCTTCCAGCAGTGGGATTACTCACAGCACCATCTTCATCAATAAATGCCACCTTACCTATTACTCCCAGGCTAACAGTCTGTTGCTCTTGGTTAGTGACTGGTATCGGGCTTATATTGTAGACCCAGACTCTTTGTTCTCATTCTCTCTGACCAGAAATAGTGTCATTTAGCGATTGTGGCAGGATATTGGGCTTTAGGACTCCTGCATTATCATCCATCTCTGCCACTTGACTGTTTGTGTGACTTTGGATAAGTTGCTTGTGGCCTGATTTTGATGACAACTCAGCTATATGATTACTTCAATAGCGACTACCGTTTGTATATGATGATAGTACTTAGCTCTCTTATAGTGCTTATAAGTAGATACCAAACTGCTTTCTAAAAGAGAAAGTACTATCCTTGATTCAGAGACAAGAGAAACTGTGCTTCTGTAAGAGGTCACACAGTGGGTGAACTTGAAATATCACCTACACGTATATTGTACACCCGGGGTTATTTTGTTCAGAATCTAGTTATCTTCTGTACCTCAGCATGCTAATCTGTAATCTAGGAAAATAACTCTTGCCTATCAGAAGGCTTTGCTGGTTTAATTAACGTTAGTGATGTGCTCTGAGCACCTCGGAGGGACGATACTACAGAAGAACAAAGTAATATTGCTTAAACTGTATTAAACCCATCTTGGCATTAGCTCTTTGCCTTTACTTTCTTCTTTGGGCTTTTGATCATCTAAAATTATGACACGGTTGATGGTGTGATTCCACAGACTTCAAGACTGCGAAACTTTAAGTCCTGTTAGAAGTTGCAAACCCTCGCCCTCTCACAATGGTCAAAAAATAAACGTCAGCTCTTTCTAATACATGAGTTTATCCCACTGGAAAAATTCACATTAATGGCAGCCCTCTCTAGGGATGTTAAAGTTAGATTAATTGGCAAATTGAATAGTCGATGCAATTTGCATTGATTATTCAATTAGTCGATAAGGGCACCTCCACCTTTGAAGTGTAGCAACAGCCCTAGGGCTGTTCCTCTACTTCAAAGATGAAAACACTGCGGGGAGCACGGGGTCCCCTGTTGACTCCATGCTCCCTGTGGTGTTTCAAAGCAGCGGCACTGCACAGAGCCCAAGGTCAGCAGGGGAGTCCTTAGCTGACCCTGAGCTCCTTGTGGCACTGTCACCCAGGCCAGAAGAGAACTCCCCAGCTAGTCCTGGGCTTCACGCAGAATTTCAAAGCACCCGTCATCTCTCTTCCCCCTCCTCCCCCCCCTTGCTGCTTCTTTCTGATAGGGGCAGCAGTGGGGATGGGGTAGAGTGGGCAGCGACTAGCTGACTAGTGTGTTGACATTTGCTTAATGTATAGTCGACTAGTTGTTCACATCCCTAGCCCTTCCCCTGTCGACATCTTGTTGCTTTGGAATATTTTTATTCCCTGGTAATTATTATAACTTGGTTATGCGATTACTTAAGCTAACTGTTACAGGATGGAGAGTTTGGAAAAACATGTTGTGCAATAGAAAAGGTCATCTTCCCTCAGCAATGTCTATTAATTTGGACTGAGCTTTGTGTCCTCCTTTTAGCAGTTGAAGTTGGCAGTTGTGCACATTGTCTGCGAGTAGGGTTAGGCACAGCAGAGTCAGTTCTTAGTTTTTAAATCGGGAGTGGCAGTGGGAAAGGAGAGCAGATGGAAAGAAACTGCTTCTTAACTGGACTTCTTAATGCTTCCATATTTAAATCCTGTACTGACAAACTTTTTTTTTTCCTGCTGTGGAATGCTTTCTGTATTTTAGTTCATCTTCATCACTGTTTTAAATCAAATCTTCCAAACACATTATTACTAAAAATTGTAGCATCTATTTATTTAATATTTATGGCATATGTACATGGCTTAATATGTATAAGAAAAAATAGTACACTGGAAAGTGCTTTTAAAATTATATACTGGGGCATTTTAGAGACTTAATATCTTGCTGCCCCTGGTAAATAGATTTTTTTTTCTTTCTGGGTTAACCTATTCTCTACTTCAGTTCAGACCAAATCTGCCATTTGGCATTATTTTAGACGTATGTTACAGCGGGGCTGGACTGGAAGAAGCCAGCAATGGTGTCCCTTGTCCTGTTCACCTGGAAATTCATTGCAGTTTGTCTTCCATCATTTAAGGAACTGAGATTTTTGGATTGGTTTCTTAGTTCTTGTCCCCAAGTTGTAAGCCTCCGAGAGTGTGGTAAAAGTGGCCATTCCCTTGATATATGGGTGTGACAAGAGACAACTTGTTATCCAGGAAGTAATATTTAATTTGTTCTGCAATGTAAGGACAAAGGCTTCTGCTGAGCCAGGTCACAGTGTTACCTGGTTAGATTTTTGGGTGTTTGAAGGATGTGAAGGACATGCCCTTCAAGTTGGCTGACTCATTCTACAATAGAAACAGCTCTGTCATACCTTTTATTATTTTTTTTCTTACTTTAAATGGATTTCTTATGATTCTCTGCTGAACAACCCTTTTCCAGGGAACCTGTTCCCCTAGTGGAAGGCCCAGAGTTCACCTGTGTGGAACAACCAGTGTTAATAGGGTACTGCCATCCAATCCTGTATGTCCTACTTGCAGATGCTTCTGTTTCAAAGGATGTAGTTTGGTGTGTGAGACTCATGCAGAGCAGGTGAATGGAGACACAAAGTCCCTAGTGGCAGCAGGAGAGAACTGCAGTCAGTGTTTCCTACTAAGTGCAATATAAACCTCTTTTCTCCCTTTCAGATTTGGATAACCAGTATATGTGGTTCCACATACAGAAGAGGCATTTCCTAATTTTAATGACCACATTTGTGGCAAGGGGGAGGGTTAGGGTTCTGATCACATTGTTAAAGTCAAGGACTGAATCAGAAGCTCAGGGTACTGGAGTTGTACAATAACTTGGCTGCAATACTTATTATGAGATCTTTAAGGATTCTCTCAAATCTCCCTTCCTAGTGGGCAAGCATTACCCTCTCTGGAGGATTAGAAGTAGTTTCCTCAGCAGCCTATCAACCCCATTCAGAAGACTGTCTGAAAAACACAATTAATGGAACTGGCTCCTTGCTTCATAATCCACCTTGAGGTTAGGCATGTCGTCACCTGTCAGCTTATGGTGTGAGGACTCTGACCTATGTTCCCTGTCGTGGGCGCATGTGATGGGGCAGCTATAGTCTGCTGTGTCAGCCAGTTTGCTTGCTGCATGGAAAAGCATGCATGGGAAACACTCAACCTGAAGCCCTTTGAAAGGGAGTAAGAATGTATTCTTTTGTGAGGAAGAAGTGTGTCTGTCTACAAAAATGTAACTTTTAAAATTTCTTTTAAAAAGTTGGATTCTGAGTGTGTTGAGTCCCTTTCTGCTCCTTAACATGGAGTACAGCCAAGTTCTTGCTTTTCTAATGGAAGAATTAAATTAAACCTCCTTATTTACATTTTTTCATTCTGAAATTTACTATGAAAATGTGAAATTACAAAACTGTGGCGTTATTGGTTCTAAAGTAATGTCTGTCCCCAATTTGGAAAATGGTATAGAATTATAGGGAATGTTAATATTACTGAATTATCTACTATATATTTGAGAGAGTTTGTGTGTCTATGTGTCTGTCCATCTATGAGTCCACTTGTTCAAGAACTCCTAAACAATAAGAGCTAGGACTGCCAAATTAAGTATTCAGCTTCCTCTTATCAGAACTTAAAGCAAGGTCAGGTTTTGGTTGTGCCAGGACAATGGGATATGCATGGAATTGTTTGGTGATTTTTTTTTTCTCTCATCAAACAGAGAGGGAGGAGTGTCATAGCAGGGATAGTTATACTCACAAATAAGCACAGGGGGCAGTAAGCATTGGGGCCATTATATCTCTGAATGACTGCAGTGGGGCAGCAAGTGCCCCAGCCCAGGTGAGCAGCTGCTGGCCAGGGGCATGACCCCTCCCTATCAGCTGGTGGGTGCTTCTACCCTGAGCCTATCCTCTGTCCCCAACCCTGACTCCTGCACCCTCCACACTCCCAGCTTCGAGCCACCCACATCCCCTAGTCTCTGCCCTGATTCTTGCACACTCCCAGGTCCCTGCCCTGAAGGGTCCAATCAACACCAAGTAAGTCTTCTAATTCTAAGTTACTTTTAAAATTGTTTTTGAAGGAATTAACTTTTAAAAAACTACTTCAGGGTGTTTTATAGAAGTGACAGAGTTTTCACAAATAAGCACCACTAAAGATAACTTGTTCAGCCTCAATATAGATGTAACTTTACATCACTCTGGTACTCCCATTGTTCTAATTCTTCAATCAGTACTTGCATGGAGAGACCATTTTAACCCATCCAGAGCCTTGTTGAAGTCGGTGAGGATCTTCACGGACACCATATTTCAGTCTGTGGATCTGATTGTGTGGCATCCATTACAATGTGGAGGGCCATGAGCACTATCGATTAATTCTTTTGAAAAGGCATCCCAAAGTCTTGATGAAAATGTTAGCTGTTGGGATTTTTTTCAGAAGACTTTTCTCAAGCTAGAAAATGGAAAGTAGGCCTGGCGAACAGAGGCGTGACCCATTAAATAGAAGCTTGTGGTCTTTAAATTACTTGCCCTCGCCTTTGTGGGATTAAACAGTTTTAGCTGGGAAAGCGTTTTAGAATTAGAATATATGTACTCATATGAAAGTAACCCATTATAACTAGATCTATGGAGATTTTCAATGCCTTTAAGATGTGTCCTAATTTATTTTAATTGAATGCTCCCCTTGAGGTTTTTCAAGAATTAAAATTTCTCAAGCTGTTACTTTTTATATTTCCTGGGGGCTTTTGGGAGAATTATTAACCTTCAGCTTGTGAATGGTGACAATTTTATATCATGTGATGAACAGGCCATATCTTCCTCTATAGGGGGCAGAAGATCTTGGAGAAAAGCATTTATTTGGTCTTAACGGTCTACAGAGCTGACAAGATAGTAGTCTGTTCCACTGGCTTAATACACCGAAGAGGAGGAAAAGATCTGAAATACCTGAACAGGTATATTATTTCATTTGCAGGCTGTTTTTTGTTCTTCACTGGCAGAAATTCAGTCATGAACTGATAATCTGTAACTATATACTAGAGGAAAATGTGTCCTTGTTTTGATTAGAACCAAGGCACTGTCAATCTAGACTTCATGAAGGGATTGTCCACATCTACAGCAGTGCATCTGCATTGCTCAGTGAAGACACTACTTACACTGATGGGAGAGCATCTCCTGTTGGTGTAGGAACCTTGTCCACCTGAGAGGTGGTGGCTGTGTGGATGGAAAAGCCCTCTTGTTGGCACAGAGCTGTATGTATTACGAGCTAGGTTGATATAATTACGTTGCTCCAGAAAATGGATTTTTCACACCAAAGAGCGGCACAGTTACAGGGACATAAGTTGGTATTGTAGACAAAGCCTGCATTGTTGCCTCTGAATTAGCAACGAGTGTGGAGTGGTGGAGGGAAGCAATTCAATCTAAAGTGTTTAAAAAAACAAAACAAAACACACCTTTGTTTTAGATCGCTGGCTGCTTTCTGCATGTGTCAGTGTCCTAGCTCCTTTTGTCTTTACTGTGGAAAGAATGGACTTGAATGTTTAATTGGTCATTTGGGGTTGTAAAAAGGGAAATGTTAGCCCTTAACGGACAGAGAAACTCACAACTGGTCACTTGTTCAGAATTGGTTCAGTGCCTTCCTACTATTTTGCGTTCTATGAGCAAGGTTTTAGTGTCCTATCATGCTTGAGAACTGCGATGAGTTAAGTTAGGTGGTGTTATAAAGGTAGTACTGGATGACTACCTTTTTGTGAAGAGGTTTTTCAAGGGGCTTTGTCAAGTGGATGCTAATAGGATTTTTCCTTTAGGGTTGTTTGACCTGTGTTTCAAAAGTGTCAGATAACTGTGAACCTATAGTGGCTACAGTCTAGTTCACCTATGATAAATTCATTTTCTGTGTTCTGTCTCTTCTGTAGAATTGCGATTTCTATTATAAGTGGAAGCACAGGGAGCGGTTTGTTTCTTATAAAAACACATCTAAAATTGTTCAGTTTTACATCATGTAGCTTGTCTAATATTGGTCTGTAGTCACATACAGTTTAAAATTGCACTAAATATTTGTGTGATGGTAACACCCACTGTGTTGAGATGTGTGGGAGCAAAGGATGTTAAATTGTGGTTAATCAGCTAATTGAGTAGTCGATAAGGGGGAAAGCTGCAGAGCTGCAGCAAGGTTAGCTCCCAGGGCAGGGGACTGGGACTGCTCCAACTCTGCAGCGGCCGTTGCAAGCAGAGAACACTCCAATCCAGCCGCGGTGGGTGAGGCTTACTCCAGCCCAGCTGGAGTGCCACCCTCCCCCACCTACCCCATTCAATGGGTTAAACATAATGTTTAAGCAGTTAAACGAAGTAGGGATGTAAAATCCCATTTTATTAGTTATCTCTTGCAATGCATTGTTTGCTTCTGCACACTGAAGTGCAAAATATGTCTCCTGCATGACTTCAGTCACTGTGGTTTGGAAGACGAAGATACCTTAGTGAGTTCCTGAGTGATTGGAACATCTCCAGGCTGGTATTTCTGGAGAGTAGCTTTGGGTAAGCTTGAGGGCAGGGCATTCCATCTAGCCCCCCTCCTCCATACTGAGAGGAAAGACTTTATACTCCTGAAAACCAGGCTGGTTCTGCTTTAAATGCCATCGACTGGGATTCAAAATCAGGAGTTTTGATTGGGTTTTATTTTGACAGTACAATAGTTTGTTTTTACAAATTATTTGTTGTTTTACTGCATAGTAACAACCACTGCTTTTGTTGTTGACAAAATAACACTGTGACTAGCAGTAATTGTCTTTGTGATGAAAAATGTTATGAATCTCACTAAAGCTGAATAGAGTATTGTGGGGCAGGGTGGGCAGCTCTCCAAGAACCTTTGTGAGCGAATCCCAGGATCGCTCTGACACCAAGCTTGTAAGTAGCTCAGATGGAAAACGAAGGGAAACTTTCTTTTTTAACCCCTTATTTTGCACTATTTATTCTTATGCTTGCAGGTCACTGCATTATATTAGGCTGCTTGCTTTCCATATCTAGACAGAACTTCCTTTTCAGTCCCAAACCTAGTAAATCTCTCATGTAACCAGTTAATAAATGTGGTCACTAGAAATGATACAGTCTGGCATCTTAATGGACTTGCTGCCCGGGTGAAATCCGGAGATGGGCATGCATTTGTCTCTGACACACAGCCACACCCTGCTATATTCTGATTTGGATTGGTGCAATTCCACTGCAGACAATGGGGGTATGCTAGTGTAAAACTGGTGTGGGTGACAAATCGGGAGAGTCTGTCTGCCCTGGTGGCATTCTGAAAACATCCTTGAACTAATGATTCTCATGTGACAGCACAGCTATGCTGTAGAGCTGCTACTGTCTCATTTCAGCCCTGTGTGACCCTTAAGGCATGGCAGGTTTTGCTGCCTCTCAGATATCTATTATCCAACAAAAGGAAGCTTTTGCAAGGTCACATTGCTTTGTCTGCTATTAGTTTAGTCTTTTTGGAATCTTTTAGCCTTTGACTAAACAACAGTTGTTTTGCTAATAGAAACTAGAACCCTTTCACAGTTTGTTACAGTATGCCGCTCTTGCTCGTTTGTTAATTATGGGGGAATATTTCTTGAAGGTAAGACTGCATGAGTGCTTACTAGCATTTGACTGCTTTTATTCATGAAGCCTAGATCTTTTTGCTGGGAATTAGGGTAACAACTTAAATCACACTTTCACCTGAAAATGTTTTAACTATTAGTGCAGCATTTCCCAAACTATGGGCCGCGGCCTGATACCGGGCCATGGGGGAAAAAAATATCGGGCCTCAGCATGGCTGCCAGGAGGGGAGCAGAGCGTGACAGGCTGGAAGGAGGGGGCGGAGGTACCCGCTGCCGGGAAGCAGTGCTGGGGCCAGCAGGGCCGTCCCGGTGGAGATCCGGGTAGGCAGGTAGGCGGCCAAAGCAGGGCTGGGAGCGGCGGGTCTGTCCCGCAGAGATCCGGGTGGACGGCGAAAGCAGGACTGGGGGAGTGGGGCTTTCCTGTGGAGATCCAGGCAGGTAGGCGGGCAGGCAGCGGAAGCAGGGTTGGGGGCAGCGGGGCTGTCCCATAGAGTTTGGGTGGGGGGAGACAGGCGGGCGGCAGAAGCAGGGTTGGGGGTAGCGGGGCTGTCCGGTGGTGGAGATCGGAGAGTGCAGGCGGCGGAACCAGGGCTACACGGAGGAAGGGGAAGCTGGCCGGGGGAGATCAGGAGGAGGAGGATGGGAGAATCAGCTGCCGGAAGCAGGGCTGGATGGGGGCAGCGGGGCTGGGGGGGGTGTCGTCTGGGGAGCGGGGCTGACCGGGGGAGATTGGTGGGTGGCGGGGGGAACCAGCCTCTGGAAGCAGGGCTGGACAGGGGCAGCAGGGCTGGACTGGGGAGATCAGGAAGAGAAAAGGGGGGGGGAGCAGGACTGACCTGGGCACATGCAGACCCTGGCAGATGAGTGAGTCTGCCCATTTTGCCCCCTCCCCCTTCACATACCCTCCCCCTTCACATACCCTCCCTGGTGTAGTTGCGAACTGCCTGGCAGGTAGACACACTCAGACAGCGTGAGCACATCTACCGGCCAGGCAGCTAAGGACTAATACACCTAATTATAATAAAACGTACCTAATTAGAAAATACCAGGCATTTTATGTGTCTGATGATTTCTCAATTTCTTTCCCAGACAAAACCTTCAAATACTGGACTGTCCAGTACAAAACCGGACACCTGGCAACCCTACCCTTCCTGCACCCTCCCTCTTAGCCAGATACCCTACCCCCAATCTGCTCCTACTCCCACCTCCTGAAGTGCTCATATGGCGCTGGGTCCCCCAAGCCCTGTCCCAGGCTGGGTGGAGGATGCAGCCGGGTGAAACACTGAAAATTTATTCATTTTTCATTCTTTTTTTCATATGCGTTTATATTTTTGGGCTGCAAAAGACAGTACTGAAAAAAACCGGTTTCAACTAAAGTAAAAAGTTTGGGAAACCCTGATCTAGCCAGCTGTCTATCCATCTTACAGTCCATTTATCCAATCCATATTCCCTTAACTTGCTGGCAAGAATATTGTGGGTGACTATCAAAAGCTTTGCTAATGCTGGCACTGGGGGCTTTGGGAGGACCAGAAACAACTTGCTTGAATATTAATCATTTGCTTATTGATTATGCAAATGAATGTTACCGGTCCTCCAAAAGCTCGTGAATGGATTTACTGGTCCCCGTGTCAAAAAATTTGGGAACCCCTGTATTAGTGTAATGCATGAGACTCCTGCAATGGAAAGAGATTAAACTATAAAATAGATTAAAAAGAAAGCATAACTAGGTGCATTTGCCAGTACTTTAGTGTATAGTCAGTTTCTTCAGTTTGTGTGGGACTTCACATAGCTACTGTGCTGTGAAAAACATTTGTAAAATAGAGGTTTTAAATCTACAAACGTCAGGGACATTTGGGGGCAAGTCCTGTTATCTGAAATGTATTTCAATTTATTTTTTAAATTGATTAGATTTGAAGTTGCTGCTTCCCCTTAAACTTCCCCTTAAGCTAAAGAGAGCCTCTATTTCCTGCGCAGCTTAGTGTCCAACTTGATTCTTGTTCTATATTTGTAACGTAAAGGAAAGGAGAAATTTCTTGAACTGTCATTTCCTACCAATGTGCAGTTTATGTAGTTATCGTTTTAATAATCTCCTTTTCCATCTGAAACAAGAAGCCTATCAAAAATTGGAACTCTTTTGTCAACTCAGAGAAACTTAATGTAGAAGAGAGTCTAGGAAACTAACACCTATTTCTTCCAAAACAAATATTCAGAGGCTATTTTAAGGTGCAGGAGTTAAATTTTAAATACAGATCTTCATTGGGTCGTGGCAGGTGTTTTGTTTGTTTTTTTTATTGCATAAGAATTGTCAGCTGGTCAGTAGAAAATCTCTGTTGCAACATTCTATTTCAGGCTATCCTCCTACATGTTGCACCACTTACATTCACGAATAAGGAAAAACATGGTGGTTAGCGTTCTTGAAGGATGAAAAAATGTAAACATTAGAAAAAAGCAAATAATGGGGGAACTGTGTAATTTTCAGGTAGCTGTAGGAGGAGGCAGATTAAGACCATGTTTTTACTGCTTTTTAAAATTGTGGATTGTACTTTAGCTGGCAAACAAGGGACAAATCTATATCCCAGTTCTTGAAGTCAGCTATTTTTGTTAAGGATGTGATCTATTTTGGTGGCTTGTTGCATTCATGTGTATCTGGGGGGCATGTACCATCATGCATTCTGATCTCATTTTCTAGTGTGCAAGACATCAAGAATATAGAAATATGGTGTCAGTAAGTATTTAAGTATTAATATAGGTAGGTTTTTTTTTTCTGGCTTTGTATCTCAGTCATATACAAAGCCAGCTGGTAGCACCATTATCTGTCTGAGCTCCAGCAGCTGTAGTCCCTAGTTTCAGGATTCACCACACTTCAGTTTTGAACTCAAATGTACCACATTAAAAGTAGCTAGTGCTTTAACTGAATCGTGTCTTAAATGATAGCTTAAGAAACCAGCAAAAATTGATTGGCCGGTAGAAGTGACCGTTAAAAGTTGAGCAGAGTTTTACTTTGGGGTGTTTTGAAAATAATGCAGAGGTCACATCAGAGTTCTGCAGTCGTGGTGTGTGTGTGTGTGTGTGTGTGTGTGTGTGTGTGTGTTGCTTTAAAATTGCCTTTGCCATACAGTATTAGCAAGTCATTCACTTCCAACATTTATATAGTATAATATTGCGAGATAAACATTTCATGTAAGTGGCTTGGACATTGGTGCACAGATGCAGGATTTTTCCTCTTCATTTTCAGAATAAGTGATAGGAATCTTGTCTATTATGGGTAAACATTATACTTATTTTTTGTGTGGTTTTGTTTTGTTTCTTGCTATTAGATCCTCCCAAGTGACTGATCTATGAAATGGCAGAAAATGGAACAGATTGTGATCAGAGACGCATAGGAATGATCAAAGAACAGCAGAATGGGAATTTCACAGGTAGGCTAAAAATGGCAGTTCCTCTTCCAGACCAATCAATCTGGTACCCTCAAAAGATTCTCCGGCAATGTGTGGGTTGGGAAACTAAGCCCAGATAGAACTGAGCAGATAATGACAAAAATGTACGGCCTAAAACTATTCTGTAGCCTTAACATGTATCCATCCTATTGACTTGAATTAGCATATGCTTAAGTGGTACAGCGTCAGGTGCTAATTTAAAAAAAATAAATCTTTTGGCAGGAATTTGGGTTTAGAAAGCATTCCAAGCAACCCAGCCCTTTGACAGCAAGGAGATTGCATTTGGACAGCAAAAAAAAAAAAATCTACCCTGTTTTGGGAGAAACACAAATTTTTAATTTCTGAATTAGTTCTTCTATAAACTATAGCTTGTCACTTGCTCACAATGAATTGCTGACAGAATGACTAGTTCTCTTGGTCACTCTTTGCAGGTCTGTTTCTATCACTGGGCCTTCTCTTTGAACTAACATACAATTAATGCTTAGAGCATGGAATCTTTATGTATGAAAAGATAAACTGGTGGTGGTTTTTTGTCTGTATTTTATAAACATGATCAAAATCTTATCTTGTTTCCTGTCTGCTTCATGTGGTTTGTATGTGTTAGTTCATGCCCTGTGCAGTTCAGCATTCTGGTTCTTTCTCTTTCCTTGCCTGTCTTGTCTCTAGTCACTGATAACCTTGCATGTGTACTCTGGGAATTCACCATTCTGAAACAGTGGGGTGCTTTCCAGTGCCATCTCTGTCTACTTTGTTTCCCTCCTTTCTTTCTTTTTTTCTTTTGGGGGGGGGGGGGAGTGGAATAATCTTCTGTGGCAGATGAATTTTGCATTTATCAACTTGAAGTAATGCATATTGAAAAACATAATCCCAACTATATATATGCCGTGATGAGGACGAAATTAGCTGTTACCACTCAAGAGAGATTTAATTGTGGATAGTTCTCTGGAAAAAAAAAATCCACTCAATGTGCAGCAGCAGCAGTCAAAATGTTATGAATCATTAAGAGGGATAGAGAATAAAACAAAGCGTATCGTAATGCTTCTATAAATGGTATGGTACACCTACATCTTGGATACTGGGTACAGATGTGGTCACCTAATCTCAAAAAATATCTTGGAAACAAAAATGATTGGGGTATGGAATGGCTGCCGTATGAGGAGAGATTAATGAGACAGTCGTCTCTTTTCCAAACTGACGGGGGTGATATGATAGAGGTCTGTAAAATCATGAGTGGTGTGGAACTCTTTCACATAACACAAGAGTTAAAGGTCACGAAATGAAATTAATAGGTAGCAGGTTTAAAGTAACCAAAAAGAAGTACTTATTCATGCAACGCATCATCAACCCATGGAACTCCCTGTCAGAGGATGTTATGAAGCCCAAGACTATAACAGTGCTCAAAAAAGAGCTGGATAAATGTATGGATCGGTCCATCAATGGCTATTAGCCAAGATGAGCAGGCAAGGTGTCATAGCATATGTTTGTCATAAACTGGGAATTGGTGACAGGGTGGATAACCTGATTATTACATATTCTGTTCATTCCATCTGAGGCACCTGGCATTGGCCACTGTTGGAAGACATGATACTGGGCTAAATGAATCTTTAGTCTGACCCAGTATGGCCATTGTTATGCTAAGTTTATACCATTATTTTTTTAGAAGTGTGGGGTTTTTTTTCCAAGTTTCTTCAAACCCACTCATTTATTGTTCTTTAACCAATTATTCTGTTCCTCCTCATGCTGTTTTTTATTGTACAATTTGTGGCTTTTTTCAAACTTTTCATTGATATGTGTTCATACTCTATCTTATAGCACTTTTAATAACTGTGGAGTGTCTTTGTTAAAGATGTTCTAAGAAATGGCAGAGAATAGAACAGATTCTTAAACCAAGAATATAGCACTATTCAAAGTGGGGTAGGATGTTTATACTGACAACAAGAATATAGAAACCTTTTATACTAAAGTTTTAGAAGGAACGCAAAGCCTCTTTCTTCTTCGGCTTGAATCCTTCTTTAATAAGTAGTTATTGGAAAGAGGCTTCCCTGAAAGGCAAGTTACTCCATCAGGCGTATTCAGTACACACAAGCTGTTCTCAATGAACAAAATTCCAATTCTTCTGACTATCCTGGCAAAATCTTTGCTTGACATTATCTGATTCAAATCATCCTGAACCAACTTAGTTAGTTTGTATTAGAGTTTATGGTAGAGATGTTCAATTTAGGTTAATTGGCTAATTGAATAGTCGATGCAGTTTGTGTTGACTATTTGATTAGTTGATAAGGGTGCCTACATCTTTGATGTGTAGGGCTGTTGCTACGCTTCAAAGGCAAAAGTGCTGTGGGAGCATGGGGCCAATGGAGGACTCAAGCAGTCCCTCTCTGGCCCCATGTTCCCTGCGACTTTTCAAAGTGGCAGTGCCACATGGAGCCTGGGGACAGTGGAGGAGTCCTCAGACCTGGCTGCATCCGGCATTTCAAAGCAGCAGCTCAATGTGGAGCCCAAGGTCTGGCCCCAGGCTCCACGCAGCGCTGCCGCTTTGAAATAAGGATGTTAAGTATCAGGTACTTGAGTCGAATAGTCGATGCACTTTTGCATCAAATATTTGATTAGTTGATAGGATGCCTCCGCCTTTGAAGTGAGACAACAGCCTTAGGGCTGTTGCTACGCTTCAAAGGCAAAAGCACCAAAGCCCAGGGTCAGCTGAAGACTACCCCGCTGACTCTGGGCTCCGTGCAGTACTGCTGCTTTGAAATGCTGCCATGGTGGTGTTTCAAAGCAGCAGCGCCACATGAAGCCCAGGGTTGACGGGGGATTCCCCAGCTAATTGCAGGCTCCGCTCAGCGCTGCCACTTTGAAATGCTGCGAGGAGCCCGACACCTGGGGAGCAGCAGCAAGGGGGAGGGCAGCAAGTCCTTCACATCCCTACTTTGAAGTAAGGATGTTAAGTATTGAGTAATTTACTAGTCGAGTAGTCAATAGGCATTTCCCATTCCTCCCGCTGGGGCTCTTGTACATTCCAAAGGAGGAATGCGGAACTCCTTGCTGGCCCTGGGCTGCAACGCAAAGTCCCGCTGACTCTGGGCTGCACACAGGCGTATCATCTTTGAAATGTACAAGAGTCCCCAGTGGAAGCACCCGCATGGAGCCTGGGGTCAGCAGGAGCCGGGAATCAGTTGTGCGGCGCTGCCCTTTTGAAATGCCACCTCTGCATTTCAAAGCAGCAGCGCTGCGCAGAGCTCAGTATGGGTTCTGTGCGGTGCTGCCGCTTTGAAGTACCTCCTTCTCCCCCTCCCCCCTTTGCTGCCTCTATCTGATAGGCAGCAAGGGGGAAATCTACTAGTTGACTCGACTGTCCAATAAGCATTTGCTTATCAGATAGTTGACTAGTTCTTAACATCCTTACTTTGAAGCACCCTTTTCTTCTCTCTCCCCCCCCCCCCCCCTTTGATGCCTCTATCAGAGGCAGCAAGATGGTGGGAGGGAGCGACTACTTGACTAGTGTGTTGTCTAGTTGTTCACATCCCTAGTTTATGGTACTCTCAATTATTGCACTAAATTATGTCTATAACCAGGGCTCAACAAATAATGCAATGTACTCGCCCGTGGCGAGTAGATTGCAACCCGGAAGAGCTGGGTTCAAGCGGTCTGCGCATACACAGAACGATCTGCGTATGTGCAGATCGCCGGACAGCACAGCTGGCAAGCGGGGCTCGCTGCAGTTTGGCGAGCCCTGTCTATAACTATCAGTATATTCTTGGTCTCCCACTTTTAATGTGTAACACCAGGGACTGTTACACTGTGTGCAGTGTTTTGTCTTACAATTGAATTACTGCAATAAACCTAATCTTCACGTTTATAATGTCTACGCTGGCTAAGAACAACAGTTCATCAAAAAAGTGTGATGTTAGAAGGGGATCCCTTTTTTTTCAGTGGATTTACTTGATGTGGGTGATAGAGAGGATGGATTTTTGTAAGTAACCATTTAAACATGGCTTGAGGTTCTGTACATAGTGAATGATGTTTTTCTGTGAGTTCAAGATAAAACTGGGCTTCAGTAATGCTGAATGGGTATTGGCTGAATGTAACTGGTTATGGAGGCAAGCAGTGTAGTCTCTTACATAAAGACTTAGAATTTTTAAGCGCCTTACAGACCAGGTCTACACATTGCTTGTTTAAATACTTCCATGGCCATGAAACTCTGGGGCAGCTGAGTGGGAAAACTACGAGCCTTCCTTTGCTGTAGGTCACTTCACATGCATTGCGGAACTCTTTACAAGAGGAGGAAGAGGAGTTAAAACTATCATGTAACTTTTAGTTGTGGTGGAATGTGAACTGTCAGCTTGTCCGTGTACTAACTCTTCCATCCATCTTTATTTCTAGACCCCTCTTTGCTGAGTGAACAGAAGCTAAGGGACCGAGAAGAGAGGCAAAATATTGTGCTCTGGAGACAACCACTCATTACCTTGCAGTATTTTTTCTTGGAAACCCTAATAAACTTGAAGGAATGGACCATAAAGTAAAGATCTCCTTTAATTTCCACTTCTAAGCTCTGTGGGGAAACCCATACTTTGATTCAATAGATCATTGTGGCATCTCAAATTCCGTGATGATTCATGTTTATAAATGTGTCTCAAAGAAAGATATTTTTAAAACCAGCCATATTCCCAGCTGCTCACCAAAATGATAATGTGTGCAGGTTACATTGGTATCAAACTCCAGCTTGCCTGGATAGATAGAAAAGAACCAGAATCTTTTTCTTTTTTTTCCCCCTGAATATTTGAATGATAAGCTAGGGCTTAAGGGCCCTGATGGCATGAACTATTGTATTAATGATTGCATCTAGAAGGGAGCTCAGATTTTATGAATTATATGCCTTTGCTCGCCAATGTCACACCATATCAGGGCAAAGTTCAAGATTACATGGCAATTATATTGATGTTAATGAAACTATACAGAGGACTTTGCTTCTAACCTACGTGTTCCGTTCCACAGTAGGAAACAATCTATAGTAGTGCTATCTCTAAACCATTGCTTGGAAGCAGTGTATTGAATAGACTGTCACCATGGGTAGGATTGTTACCCCCCAACCTGACTGACCTCCCTTCCTAATAGGGAAGAGGATAGTGAGATTGCTTACTACAGTAAGCATGAAAAGGATAAATATGAATACTAGAAAAGGATAAATATGAATAAAATTATCAAGGGAGAACACCATTTATAACAAGCCATTCTAGCATGTGGCTAATGGATAGACTTGTGCTCAGAAATGAGCCTAGGATTATTTTCCAGCTCAGCAGGCATGCTCTGATGTGGTCTTGGGTAATATCAGTAGTTAGAATGCCCCCTTACTGAGGGCTTGTCCATATGGAGATTTGGCAGCCTTGGGAGAATTTACAGTGCACCAGCCTGCTGTGTATGTTGAAGCACACTGTGAACTTCTAGTTCACGGCAGTAGGGCCCATGCAGTTACTTAGTGCACAGCAGGCTTGTGTGCATAGATTTACCTCTTGACTTGTCATGCATCAAGCTTAAGCCCTTTCATCAGTTGAGAATGGTCATAACAAGCTGCATTCTCCTACTCTCCAGGCCATAAGCAGAGTGCTAATATAGGGGGCCCTTTCAGAGGAGGGAGTAAATTAAATGTTGATTTGAAATAACAAACTTTTATCAAACAGGTATCTAATGTAGTGTAGTCCTTAAATATTCTTTTACACTTCCTGCTTTCTTTCAGTGTTCTTGGGATTATTCCTTTTGAGAACTGTTTTTTTTCCATGTCCCATGTTATGCATTTGTGGCAGCTGTTTATTTAAGAGTGTCTAAAGTATACTATAGAAAATAACACTTGAGTTGATATTTTATCTGATTTGATTGATACCTGACTTTCTAGATCTTAAATTTTTGTGTAGCTGTCTTGTTACACAGCAATATTTTGGACACTAACATTATGCAGTAGTAGCAGGAAATAACTTTCCTCTTCTACTTTAATATATTAACAGACACAAATTCAGGTGGTCCTAGGCTGGATTATATACTATTAAATGGTGCTTTAAAGTGTAACTGTCAATTGGAGAACTGCATGTCCATCTGAATTCTCAGCTAGTGTTACAAGTAACATCAAGTATTTCTGTAAGTGAAAGAGATTAGTGAGTTCTCACATTTAATATGCATTTGAGGGTTTTGTGTCAAGTCAGTTTCACTGTTTTCCCCATGTGGTGGTTTCCCTCTTCCTCCCTCCCTCCTTCCCCCCACCTCATTGTGAGAGATTCACACATTGCAGTGGGGAGAGAAAAATACCATATAAGGAGAGGTATGGCTATAAAAACACAGTAATTAGTAGTGGACTATAGTGGTACCTGAAACTTTAATTATTTTAAAATTTATTCAGTTCCAGTTGATAGTTTTTTTGTTTTTAAAACATGATGAAACAGCAAATGTGTGTAATATAGCATTCGGCAAGAGTGTAATTGTTTAAGATTGACAAGAAAAAAATAAAATAAATGAGCTCTCTTTTTAGCCAATTGTGTACAGTCTTATTGCAGACTTGTAAAGCTAGACAGACACAAAAGCCAATGGAACTGGATCTCAAATTACATGAATACTTACAACTCCCCACTGATAATTGCCTTATACTTAATGTGAAAAACTTCCAGTTAATTATTAAATTTTTCTGAGCTGCAGCAAGACACCTTTTCAACGTTTCTTTAAATCGATTAAGAGAGAACCCAAGTAGTTATCAGACTACCTTTCATAAAGCCACTTTGGCCTACTGCTTAGAGCACATGCTAGGAGTTTTAGGTTTTATTCCCACTGCCTTACTGTGACGTTGGCTAGCTTACTTTACTGCTTTGTATCTTGCTTTACTCTTCAGTCAAGTTGATAATGCAGTAGTACCTGTTATTTTGGGTGTCAAGGCCTAATATTTGTTAGAACATGGAGTTAATTGGATGAAAAATGCTTTCAATGTGTACAATAGAACACTTTTATTCCAGTTCTGAGTGAGATGCGATTTCCCCTTAAAGAATCAAGACTCCGCAGTTCTTTTATGCACACTTTGATCTATATTGTAACATTACAAATTTGGCAGGCTGCATTTTTACCCTTTTGATGCACCCCAACAAAGCTGTTCTGCAGTGACACAGAAGTGGCTTGGCAATGCATGGAAAAATATGAATGACCCTAATTGCAATTTGTCTTTTAAGATTGTGGCATCGCCGAAGTATCGTGATGTCTTTTTTGCTGCTGCTTGCAGTGCTTACAGCTGCGTATTATATTGAAGGAACACATCAACAGGTATGCAGTTCATCAAGTTATTTTCTGTTGTGTTTGGCACTTCCTATCCAAAACATACACTTAGGGGATTGAATAGTGTCATACAAGAATGGTAGTGCATATACCTGAGTGTTCATTTTATTCAGCTAATAATTCCCTGTGGAGTGTGCTCCCTTCTGTCACGTAGCAAATCAATAATAGATTGAGGATAGTGACTTATCAGATCAGTAAGTACACCTCTCTGCAGCCATGTGTGTTCTGTGTGTCCTCCATCTCTGAATAGCTAATTCTCTCCAGAGCTGCAATGCCACTTCACATCTGCTTTTCAGAGCACTGGACCATGCTGCAGGTAAACTAAGACCAAATGGGACTGTAATGTCAGGGCTCCCAGGTAAATTGTTTCTTCCTCCTCACAGAGGACTCTCCAAACCATCTGGGATAGTCCTTTCCCTCTGGTCATAGAATCGTCTAGTGGATTGAGCACCAGAGTGGGAACTAGGAGCTCCTGAGTTCAGATCCTAGCCTGTTTCTTATGCTGTCTCTCCCAATTTTTTAAAATGGATTAAATACCTCTCGGGTGATATGAAGATTGATTGATGCTTTTACATTAGATGTACAAAAGTTAACCATTACAGAACTGTAAAGCAGGGAGGAAGGCCATACCAAGTCTCTGATCTTGTCTTGTGAGTGGCATCCCTGTCAGCCCAGCCATGCAAAGGAGAAGGCTGGCTGGAAGCTATCCAGCTGCTGTCCCTTCTTGTTCTGACTGACTCTTTAATGCAGCCTTTCCAGATGGCAAAAATCTAGTCTCACTCCACCTCCACCTGCTTCCCCAGTCAGATTTCACTGCCCATCTGTGGTGCTTGTAATAGGTTGCAGTAAGAATCTTAACTCCCACCCCTGATCATATAGGTAGTATCCTGGTTCAATAATTGTTGTAGGTATAGTTTTGTGAGATCTAAGAATAGGTGAGCCCAATGAGCCATATACATGGGGAAGAAGCTTAAACAGTGTTGAAGTGTTAAAGTAAATTTCATTCTGCCAAGCTGTTAGGCTAATTGTCTTTTAGTTACTTTTACAGGCGAGAGCCTTATGGTTAGTGTGTAAACGTTTGGCTGAGCTAGAGCAATGAGCCTTTGCACTTCAACAGGGCTTTGAATCCTAACCTCTAGAGATCCAGGTGCTGCCATTTTCTGACTGGTGGTGGTTCTTTCCACTGACTAGCATACAATATGGAAAATGTTCTCTGGTGCTTGTTTTCATAGAGTCTTAGAACTGGAAGGGACCTCGAGGTCATCGTATCCAGTCCCCTGCCCTCACGGCAGGACCAAGCACCATCTAGACACCATCCCTGACAGGTGTCTGTCCAACCTGCTCTTAAATATCGGCAGAGATGGAGATTCCACAACCTCCCTATCAATTTATTCCAGTGTTTAACCACCCTAACAGGAGGTTTTTCCTATTGTCCATCCTAAACCTCCCTTGCTGCAATTTAAGCCCATTGCTTCTTGTCCTATCCTCAGAGGCCAAGGAGAACAATTTTTCTCCCTCCTTCTTGTAACACCCTTTTAGATACTTGTTTTCTCCCATCCTTTCATGTGACTCATCCTTATCCTTGACAGAGAAAATGAAGAGCCTGTTACATTGCAGAACTCCTACACTTGCTGTATTTTTAACACAGGCACGCCTTTATTTAAATCCAGAGGTTAACAGAATAATCCTTTAGAATTCCCCTTCCAAGTGTACTTTTACCAGAGTTCACACCCCATGGCTAGTGACTAAGCCATAAACCATTTAGCTGTCTGGCCTCTAAGTTGGTGCTTTAGTGAAAAACTGCCTTTGCATTTGGTACTGGCTAGCAATTCTGTCTCTTTAGAGCAGGCAAGGGAAACCACCAGCCCACGAATCACGTCTGGCTCCCTGCTTAATTTCATCTGGCCCGTGGCAAGTCTCTGTACCATGGACTAGAAGCCCTGAGCCACAGCGGTGCCCCCCAACCAGCAATCCAGGAAGCTGTGCATGCTACCCTCCTATTGGCTGGGAACTGCAGGCAACGGGAGTTGTGCAGGCAACGTCTGCAAACAAGGGCAGAGTACAGAGCTGCCTGGTCCCTTCTCTTCTCCCCAGGCTGCAGAGATGTGCTGACTGGTTCCATATCAAGGAGATGCCAGAGCATCTCAGCCCCTCTCCTGCATCCCAACTCTCAGCCCTCAGCCCCATCCTAGAGCCAGCACCCTTACCTTCTGCCCCTTTCCTTCTGGGAAGGGACTAACAACTCTGAGTCCCTTCCCAGCGCCTGCAAATGACAATGGTGGGAAAGTTGGCAATTCTAATCTCAAAGCCTAGGGGAAAGCTATGAGCTTCCCTGCCCGTACCTGAGCTCTGTGTGCCCGCCACTGATTTTTTGGGGGGGAGGTGGGAAAAAGGTTTCCCCTCCCCTGCTTTAGAGAACAGCTGAACTCCCATTTCACCACTAGGTGGCTCTGACAGATTTGGGTTGAAGTAGTTCAGCAGAGCATTGTGAGAAAGTTTACACTTATTCTGTGATCCCATAAGCCCGCGTTTCTCAAACTGTGGGTCCCCCCGGGGAGGTCGCAAGCAACTTAGAGGGGGGTCACGGTATCACAAAGTTTGAGAACCCCTGCCATAACCTTTCATAGGCTCTGCGTTCCTGACAGATCTTTTGCTTCATCGTGGAGACGTTAACGGTGCCTGGAACTGAATTACTATGCCAGTGAGTGCACTTGATACCCTTTTAGATCATCACCTGTCCTAAGCACTTAGGAAGAGCCAGCAGCACCTTTCTTTCATGAGAATTGATTCATCCTGATTTTATTTTGTGATATTTTTTTTTCTTGTTTTTCAGTATGTGCAGTATACGGAGAAAAAATTCTTGTGGTGTGCCTACTGGGTAGGCTTAGGCATTCTGTCCTCTGTTGGGCTTGGAACAGGTCTTCATACCTTTCTACTCTATTTGGTAAGAAACCTACAACTATATTTTCTTGTCTCACTATTCCTTTTTACAAAGTGCTTTGAGATCTGTGGGTGAAAAGTGCTCTATAAGAGTTGCGTGTTGCATACCCGTGGGCTTGAAAAAGGTTCCTTCAGCCTTCCTCTGTGGTGTCATCTTTGCTAAATGGTGGTGTTAACCTTGTTCTGGTCTCTGTGTGCTATGTACAGATTGTACCTCCCTTAACTGGGATAGAATCATAGGGATGGAAGAGACCTCAGTAGGTCATCAAGTCCATCTCCCTGCCCAAAGCAGGATCAACCCCAACTAAATCAACCCAGCCAGGGCTTTGTCAAGCCGAGACTTAAACACCTCTAGGGATGGAGATTCCTCCACTTCCCTAGGGAACCCATTCCAGTGCTTCACCACCCTCCTAGTGAAAGAGTTTTCCTAATATCCAACCTAGACCTCTCCCACTGTAACTTGAGACCATTGCTCCTTGTTCTGCCATCCGTCACAACTGTGAACAGCCTCTCTCCATCCTCTTTGGAACCTCCCTTCAGGAAGTTGAAAGCTGCTATCAAATGCCCCCTCACTCTTCTCTTCTGCAGACTAAACAAACCCAAATCGCTCAGTCTCTCCTCATAAGTCATGTGCTCCAGCCCCCTAATCATTTTGGTCATGTGCTTTAGCCCCCTAATCATTTGGTTGCTGGACCCTCTCCAATGCGTCCACGTCCTTTCTATAGTGGGGGCCCCAGAACTGGACACAATACTCCAGATGTGGCCTCACCAGAGCTGAATAAAGGGAAATAAACACTTCTCTAGATCTGCTGGCAATGCTGCTCCTAATGCAACCTAATATACCATTAGCCTTCTTAGCTACAAGGGCACACTGTTGACTCTGGTCTGGCAACATCCATGGGTTTTTCCTGGACCGCACAGCCCAGGTATAGAGAGGTTGGGCTGTGGGGCAGGAACACGGCAGAAGAACCAGCGACTCAACTGGGAGCCCCAAGTGGGGAGGGGAGGGAGGAGACTCAGAGGGGCAGGTGGCACAGCAGAGAATTCTGCCCCCTGTAGCTGGGAAGTAGTAGGGATTGGCAGCAGCTGCGGATCTCCCACTCCAGCCCTGGCTGCGGAGCTCAGGGTCCAGCAACAGCAACTAGGGAGCTCCAGCCTGGGGAGCCGCAACCAGGCAGGCAGCAGCTGTGCCGGGCTGCAGCCCTAGCAAGGGGCAGGAGTTTAGCACAGGCCGTATTGGGAGGGACCTCCCCATGTCCGGCAAATCCCCTTGATTGGGACCGGTCAGGTCCTGGGGGTGCCAGAAGAGGGAGGTCCTATCTGTATCCTATTGAACTCCTGGTGAGACCCTGCAGTTGAAGATTGTTTTCACCTTGAATAATTGAAAACATAGAATTGAAAATTAGCATTAAAAACTATTAGCACACATTTATGTACTTAAAAAGTAAGGAAGTTTTATAGTGTGATGTAGCTGTGACAGATGGTAAGTGGGATCTGGACTGGACTTTCTTAGGATGCTTGGTTTTTTGGGGGTAGATCAAAATATTAATTTTCCGAGCTGAAACTTCTGAAATGTGCAGTAAATTATTCTTATAGCTCAGTCCACAGTCATTCTGGATGTGTAAATAATAACAAGGTACAGGAAAAACATGTTAATTTAGTGTGGTACCAAGACCTTTAAATCCCTCTGATGGAAACCACATTGTGGTGTTTATTTCAACTTCACTAGCTTGAAGTCAGGAAAGTATTTGTTGGTTGCTTGATTTGGTTTAGTGTTGGGTTAATTCTTTGATTACAAAACAACTGTAATGGTTTTTTTAAAGGCTTCATGGTTGCAAAAATGATTAAAACCATTGTGTGCACTCAACTCTGTGTTGTATTTGGGACAGTTACTGATGGCTTAATTTTAGGATTGTTTTAATCATGGAGAATTGTACACAAAATATTTCAGGAAACAGGAGAACTCTTGTTTTACATGCAGTAGAACAGGGCTACTCAACTTTGGAAGCCCCAAGTCCCACAGTGATACTGAGCACATGCCTAGAGCTGCAGCCTAAGTGTGGTTGCATATACGTGCAAATATACGTGCAAATATACGTGCAAATAGCTTCTTTCACACTGATGGGCATGAATACAAAGATTAAAGTAGGACTACATAACACACAGGCCTTTTTAAGTCAGTTCTGCTGATATTAATAAAATGCAATATTTACCCGATTTCCACCCATATGACAGCACTTTTAATAAAACAGGATTTTCAGGTCTCTCTTCCACGTGTGTCTGTCTCTCTCTCTCTCTCTCTCTCTCTCTCCTCCTCTTACTGCCGCCTTCTCTCTCTCTCTCAGCTCTCCTCTACCTCCTGCCTCCCTCTCAGTCTCTCTCTTTCTCTTCTCCTCCCCCTTCTGCCTCTCACTTTGGGGACCATGGAGCCCAAACGGTTGCTTGCGCCACAAGCTTCCACACGGCTGCCTGGCTGAGCAGCGCAGAAGTCAGCCGAGTGCCATGGCGGGAGGTGAAGGTGGGCGGGACGGTGATGTTCACAGCCAGGGGGTGGAGCCTGGAGCCGCTGTCACGCTGCACGTCACCACCCCACCCCCCCTTCGCCTCCTGCCGTGGCGCTCGGCTGACTTCAGTGTCGCTCAGCTGGGCCGCCGTGGGAGAGCAAGCGGCTGTTTGGGCCCAGTGCTCCCCATGCAGCACGGGGACCACGGCACCCAAACGGCTGCTTGCTCCCCCACACCGGCCCGGCTGAGCTGCGCAGAAGTTAGCCAAACGCCACGGCCAGAGGCGAAGAATGTGACTCAGGCAACAGCGCCGCCCTGAGGCAACAGCCAGCATTTCAGCATTAGAGTCACAGACATTGGGCTACTATATGATGACAGTCCAGGAATTTAACTACTAAAACGCATATCAACAGAAGACCATTATATTGACTACTCTTTGTTTTGGCTCCCACCCGTGGGCCACGTGTTGAGCCCCACGTAAACCCAAACCTCACCGTGGGCTGCATGTGTTGAGTAGCCCGTAATAGAGCAATGCTGCTCAGGCTAAATGACAGCTGTATAGGATGCATTCACTTGAGCATTAGGAATGTGCATGCACCATAGCTGCTTTTCTAAAGTCTTTGCCTCCAGGAAGGGGGACGTGTGACTATCCCCTTCACTCTGAATTAAGATGAAAAGAGATTGAAGGATACTTGGTTGTAAATTTGAGTTACATGGAATGTTTTAATACACTTTGACTTTGGTTTACTTTATTTTTCCCCTCTGTAGATTGGAGAGATTAGTGAAGGGGAATGTATGCGCAAATGTTAAAAATACTCCTCCCCCCCCCCTTTTTTTTTTAAACCAAGTGCTGGATGATTTCCACCCCGCCACTTAAAAATCAATACACATTTCCATTGTTTGCAGGGGGAAACTTAAAGCTTAGGGTTACATGCACAGATGATTGTTGAGAGCATGGAAAATGGCAAAGCTCTCAGGATTCCTGTATACAATCCTGCCTCGATTGGGTTTTTTTTCCTATTGTAAATGTTCTTGACTCTAACTAGAAAATTAGTAGCTTCTCTCTTTTTATAGGCTAGAAGAGGCTGGAACATCTTTGGTATTGGGATAGGTCCCCAAAATCCCTATGCAGAATCAGGGCTGCATTGGAAAATATGGCCCCTTGCCCCAGTGAGCTGACAGTATATTACTAAACCCATAACTGAATAGGACTGCTGGGAAACCAGGATGTTGTGGACACTTATCCCCCTGTGCATCAGAGTATTTATTAATCCTAGGCTATATATATTGCTAGTTCTATGAAGTGTGAAAAGTCGTGTAGCATCCAAGGATACCTGAAATCTGAGAGGGTCATTTCATCAACTTGTTGTAACATGGTGGAGTGTTTATGGGGGCTAGAAGATGCAGCATCACTGAAGAGTTCTATCATAAGGTACAGTGAATAGTCCTTTTAGCTCTATAATAAAGGAGAGTTCGTATGTTAAGTAATTTAAATCTTTAAATAGAAACACAAATGAAACAGGGCAGTGTTCGACTTTCATTTGTCTCTTTGAAGCAGGGTGTGTAAACTGACAGACATGTAGTTCACTTTAATTTTTGTCTAGTCATTAACCTGACTTGACTGTCATAATTTTCTGCAGCGTGAATAAATGAGCAGCTGTCCCAACATAGCACAAGATAGCATCACGTAGGAAGAGAAGCTTGGATTAATGCTGGTTTAGTGAAGGTACTTATTGTGGGACTTCGTAAAATCCTTCTGCCAATAAAGCTGCCTTCAAGAGCACATCATCTCCCTGCTGAAGTTAAATCAGACATTTCATACTAAGCAGGCACAAATCTATGGTTGTTCAACTCTCAACTACATTGGCAATTGATAAAGAAAAATAGGCTTTATCTTTTGTCCAAAGCGGCTTACTTTGGAGGCAAATGTTGTAATCCCAAAGAGGGGCAATTTGGTCTGTGAACTTCCAGATACATAATAGGGAGATGTTCATTTTCTCCTATGAAGTTCTTGTGTCTCATTTGTGATTCTCATCCTCTTGTCTTGAGCTGATAATGCCAAATGTTGATTTTTGTATTGCAAATGTGAATACTAGGGGTGAGCCCTGTCAAACATCTCCATTTGTGCCCTAATTCAAGATCTCAACCCCGTCTTCATTATCTGCACCTCCTAGTTACTATTCAAACTCTGGCCAGTTTCTGATCATCAGTCTACTGTGGTGAGTCCATGTAGAATAACTCAAAGCACTGACTGGCTGAAATGTAGATGGTAGTGTGGAACTAAATAACTGGGATGCTAACTCCAATTTGAGATGTTACTTGAGAGAAGCCAGGGATTGGATTGGCACAGACTCCATGATTTGGGGACTAGGTTCTCCTTGCAAATGCACTTCCCCAATGCAGTTAAACACTTGGAAGCACTGGAGACATGCACATACTGGTGTTGTGTGCCAACATGTAAACCTCTGTGAATTGAGCCAGATGACCTCATGCAGGGGTC